GGACAAGTTTGAGGACCCCTGTTCTAATATGTAACTCTTCAAAGGCCATGTTACTGCTCAGGCTGGATTTTTTTCAGGATCACAAGTAAATATTGGGTGTGTACAATAATGAGAAATCTGCCTTCAGTCAGGGGATGTCTAAAGAAAGCAGAGTTTTGGGGGCTCTTTCAGAGAAGTGTGTTGTGCATTCACCCAGTTTTATTCATGGAAGTTTTCCAAAGGCCCTATCCTTAATTCACTCTTGTTCTTCAGAAAGCTGTCATTCTTCAAATGGAGACTGTCATTGGCAGGGTTCTCCAATGTGAACATGTGAACCGCCTTGCGAATGCTGACTTTGCTTAAAGTGCCTCTGTGCCCCAAACAGAGGAATCAGAATTCCTTCAGAAGGGGCCTTCTGAGAACAAGAACACCTCCTCTCTGTGTGTTGATCCTCTAATTGGGCCACGTGCCTCTGCTGACACCAAGTAATGGGGTCAAGGGCCAGTACTGCCTTGTCTGTGTCTGAGAAATTCCTCTGCTCTGAGTCCACTCCCAATATCTTGGGTATTCCAAGAGGTTGCCTGCTCACCTGGGAGTCTGGACTCGAGATAAGTGCCTCCACCTCTCTCATCTCAGTGCCTCAGAGTGGCCCACATTCCCTGCCCGCTTCCCCATGCCCAGTTCCCCTTCAGATTCTGGTTCCTCTGAAGTCCAGCCAGTAGTCTTGAGAATGAGCACTCAAAGTGGACATTTTCTCTCTCCCAATATTTCAAAGAGCCAACTTCCACAAATGTCTGGTTCTGAGGAAGCCATGTATCATCTGAAGCCTATTAGCCAATGATATCATCAGAAGTGGATGCGGTTGCGCAGTGGGTTAAACTGCTGAGCTGCTGGGCTGGTTGATCGAAAGGTCGACAGTTCAAATCTGCAGACGAGGTGAGCTCCCATTCTCCGTCCCAGCTCCTGCCAACCTTGCAGTTCGAAAGCATGCAAATGCAAGTAGATAAAAGGGTACCACTTCAATGGGAAGGTGACAGCGTTCTGTGCACCTCGGTGTTTAGTCATGCCAGCCACATGACCACGGAGACTGTCTGTGGACCAACGCTGGCTCCCTCGGCTAGGAAACAGAATGAGCACCGCCCCCAAGAGTCAGACAAGACTGGACTTAATGTCAAGGGGAAAACTTTACCTTTACCTTATCATTGGGAACCTCAGGCATGTAAAAATAGATCCTGACAGACTAATTTAATCTCATTTTTTGACTGGGTAACCTCCTAGATGGATAGAGGGAACACTGTGGACACAATCTGTGGATGAGCATTGCCTGGCAACAGTGACCCACGCTCTGGTAACTTCCCAGTTGGATTACTGTAACGCGCTCTACGTGGGCTGCCTTGAAGATGGTCCGGATATTTCAATTGGTTCAGAATAGAGCTGCCAGGATGTTAACAGGGACTGGCTGATTTTCACATAGAACACCAGTTCTCTACCAGTTACACTGGCTACCAATTGAAGTCCAGGCCCAATTTAAGGTGCTGGTTATGACCTATAAAGCCCTAAATGGCTTGGGTCTGGGATACCTGAAGGAGAACCTTCTTCCCTATGTGCCCTCCCGCCCCTGAGATCTGAGGCAGAGGCCCTGCTCCGGGATCCCTCCTTGAAGGAGATTAGGAGGGAGAGTACCTGGAGGAGGGCCTTCTCTGTGGTGGTGCCCTGACTATGGAATATGCTCCCCAGAGAGACTTGCCTGGCACCGACATATTCTTTTCGACGTCAGGCAAAACCTTTTTTATTTTCCCGTTATTTTAATGTTTAATTGATTTTAACTGGGGTTTTAGTATATCATGGTCAGATGCTGTGGGGCTGTTCTATTTATTTATTGTAAGCCCTCCTGAGATGTTCTGTAGGGGATGGGATAGAAAGCTATGAATGAATGAATGAATGAATGATCTACCTAGACTTTAGCAAAGTTTTCAGCATTGTGCCAGATGACATTCTGATAAACAAATTAGCAAAAGCTGGACTAGATGGAAGAACTATTAGGTGGATCCAAAATTGGCTGCTAAGTCGGACACAAAGAGTGCTCATCGATGGCATCTTCTCAAATTGGATGGAGGTAACTAGTGGGGTGCCACAGGGTTCAGTCCTGGGCCTAGTGCTCTTCTACATCTTTATTAATGATTTAGATGATGAAGTACGAGGAAAGATAATCATATTTGCAGATGATACAAAACTGGGGAGGAATAGCAAGCACCCTAGAAGACAGAATGAAGATCCAGGGTGATCTTGATAAACTTGAATACTGGGCCCAAAGCAACAGAATGAGATTCGATAAGGACAAGTGCCAAGTCTTTCACATAGGAAAAAGAAACCAAATGCAGCGACACAAGATGGGAAATATGTGGCTCAACAGAACTGAAAAATAAAAAGATCTCGGAGTAATTGTGGACAATAGGCGAAATATGAGCCAACAATGTGATGCAGCTGCCACAAGGGCAAATGCTATTTTGGGGTGCATTAAGAGAATTATTGCTTCCAAATCACAAGAAGTAGTAGTTCCTCTATGCTCCTCACTAGTCAGACCTCACCTGGAATACTGTGTCCATTTCTGGGCACCAAGATTTAAGAAAGATGCCAAAAAATTAGAAGGGTCCAGAGGGTGGCAACAAAAATGATCTAGGGTTTGGAAACACTGCCTGATGAGGAGAGACTGAGAGATCTGGGCATGTTCAGCCTGGAGAAGAAAAAACTGGAGTGGGCCATGGTATCACTTTGTAAGTACTTCACAGGCTGTCACAAAGGGGAAGGTCAATATCTCTTCTAGCCGATACCAGAGTGTAGGCCATGGAATAAACAATTCAAGTTGCGACAACCCAGATTCAGGCTGGACATCAGGAAGAGCTTCCTCACAGTCAGAGCAATACAATAGTGGAACCAGCTCCCTAGAGAGGTGGTGGGCTCTCCCACACTTGCGACATTCAAAAAGAAACTGGACAGCTATCAGAGTGGAACAGTGTAAGCTGTTGACCTGCAACAGCAGGGGCTTGGACCCAATGGCCTTCATGGCCCCTTCCAATGCTACTATTCTATGATCACTATTACCAAAGAAAGGGTGGGGTTGGAAACTATGTTACATTTGTAAGAAGTATGCCATCTTGAAATCTCATCTTTGAGAGAATTGTGTATAATAAGAATTTTGCTGAAATTGTATCTGCATGTGTGTGTGTCTTAAATTATGGACAACATTTTGAAAACCAAAAACCACTGCCATGTGGCATGACATAAGGCTGCCTGGCCCAACTTCTGGTAAGCATGACATTAGGACACAGCTGTCCAATACCAACAGGCCAGTGAGGTCCTCAAAAGCTGATCTTGGAGAGACTCCAACAATTTAATTCCTCTGACTGAAACCTCTTCTCCATACATTGTTTCTGCCTCCCCTTGTTCTTGCCCTTGGTGTGGGGGAAAATGAAATCTGTAAGAACTTCCTAACTACCAGTTGAGTAGAACTAAAGTGTGGGCTCTGTGAAATGCTCTTCATGCATTATGTATGTATGTATTTATTTATTTATTAAAACATTTCTATGCTGCCCCTTGCCGAAGCCTCGGGGCGGCTCACAGCACAGAATAAAATACAATAAAATACAAAAATAACAATATAAAACCAACAATATAAAATAACAATATAAATTTATTTTATAATATAAAATAAATAACAATATAAATAACAATTATCTTTTTGTGGATAATGATAATTATCCATAATATCTTCTCATGGATAATGCTCTTCATGCATTATCCATAGGAAAGGGGGTTGGGGAGAAGAGCTGCTTCCATGGCCTTCCTTAGCCCTGCAGGCACATGGGGAAGGACAGCTGTGCAATGCTAGGGCTGGAGCTAGAGGCACGGCTTCACTGCGCCTGCAATTTGTGGAGCCCCTCTCACACGGGCAACTCTAGCTGGTTCTGTCTGATGGCCATTAATTGACTATATGTGGTTTCACATGGGTGCTTGCCAAAAAGGCAAACATGCATACATTTGGAGCAATTAATTCGAAATGTGCTTGAGAATAAGACACAGATTTCTCCAAAGCCCTTCATAGTCCCTCTGACAAGCCACCTTCAGGCCCAAAACCAATCCATCCTACGTCAAAATTCAAATGGTCCTTTCTTGACGAGTGCACTTGGGCACACGGAGGGCTTCTCCTACTGAGTGGAGGCCTTTTTTCTTTTATACTACACTGTGGTATAGGCTGGTAATGACCTATAAAGCCCTAAACGGCTTGGGTCCTGGTTACCTGAAGGAGCGCTTACATCCTTATATGCCCAGCCGCCCCCTGAGATCGGTGGGAGAGGCCCTTCTCCGGGAGCCCTCCATGGAAGAAGTGAGGAGGGTGGTTACTCGGAGGAGGGCTTTCTCAGCGGTGGCGCCTAAGTTATGGAATGCGCTCCCCAGAGAGGTCCGCCTGGCGCCGTCGTTATTTGTTTTTCGGCGCCAGGCGAAGACCTTTTTATTTAAGCAGTATTTTAAATGTTAATATTATTGAATTTTATTTGGCCAGGGCGGCTTGTTTTATAGTGTATGTTTTATATTATATATTTGTATTTTATTGTATATATTTTAAAATGTTATTTTAATTTTTTGTTGTAAGCCGCCCCGAGGCTTCGGCGAATGGGGCGGCATAAAAATGTTTTAATCAATCAATCAATCAATCAATCAATCAATCCCAAGTGGGAGTAAATCCGAAGAGACCTCCTTTCTTGCACAAGAGCTTGCATGGGGTCTTATGCAAGAGGGAGAACAAGAACTCCTGCGTGTGAGCTCAAGTGCCTTTGTGGAGCAGCGCTATTTTAGTGCAGAAAGACAGGTTACTAATTAATTCATCACTTTTAGTTTCATGCCACTCACAGCTCTTTGCATCCAACCCAATATTAGTAATAATTCAGAAGTGATAGCTGGAAACTGTAATAACAAGATTGCTTTCAGCAGGGAACTAAATGATCTCCTTATGTTTTCCAGAGATGTCTCTTCTACCGTCACTTCTAGCCCTAGCTGCTGGTCTACATGAAAGTGTTGGAAATGTGGTATGTGCCTTGTGTATGAAATCTGAAACCTGTTCGAACAGAAGCTTCAGTATCCGTAGGAGATCAGGATTCCACTGCTTCACCTTCAATACAGCTTCCTTGGATTAAGGGGTAATGTGCAGGACTAAAATATTTTCATACTTCTCTCTGAAGTTCTGAATCATGCAGATTGCAGCAATTCAGTAAAATATGTGGGCCTCATGGGAAAAAAGATTGCAGTGTCTGCTTGGTGGGGATGAAGCTTGTATTTATGACGCATTTCCCTTCTGTGGTATGGGAGGGCCTATTCAGATGGTCTTTCCTTGGTGGCTAATAAATTTGGGTGGGTTCCAGAGGGCTCTGGGGAGATTTCAGCTTGGTAAGTCTAGCTTTCCTGTGACGATGTTGGTTGTTCCCCGGGCAGCTGACCGGAGCATTCTTGAGAGCCCTCTCCAGAGTAAACCTCACACTGGTCCATACTGCAGAGCCAGGTGTGATGAAGCTAAATAGGAAATGGAGAAAAAGTTCTAGGAGATACAATCTCACACTGATCATCAGTCATACTACAATAGCATTGGAAGTAGCCTATAACACCATCAAATCCAACAATCTTCTCAGTGGAGGACCCAAATTAAAGCAGACCCTATTTCCATTAGCATTATGTGGCTCTTCTGAATTGATCTACACTTCTGAATTGATCTACGGTTCTCTTGGAACTGTAGCATTTCAGATTGTAGACTGGGGATGTACCGAGTTCAGAACCCTGCCCAGCACATGGAAAGCTGGAAGGTCAAGAACTCAACATTTCCGGATAAGGGAAATGAAGCAAAGGAAGAAATATATGGCACTTTAGAGAAATCAAAGTCCTTTGCACACAAGATGGTAATATTACTATTTCATCATGCTGCCACTTTCTCACACATGACTCTATGTCCACAGCACAGCTTCTGAATGTATAACACCATCCATCAGCAACAGACTGCATCTCTCAGGGGCTGGCAGCCTACATTGCTCCCTCTTTCATATTACTTAATCTGGGGCACATGGTTTCTGTCTTCTCAAGGGTTATTCTGCTCCGTATAGAATGATTCAGGAGTCAGGCACAACTCCTTCATGAGTCATCTGCCAACACCAAGTAGAAGTAGTGCCTTCCACTCTTCACCCCATTCCGAAGCCGTTGTGAACAAAGACTTGGTGCTTAGGCATTGCATATGAAATGTAATGTCAAAATACAGATTTGTTGCCACTGGTAAAGAATTATTTTCCTTGTAAGTAATTAAAAGTGAGTGGTGCTTTAAGGGGCCATAGAAAAGTATTTCATGGACGATATCCATGATAGTGAGGCTGTAGTTGCCATTTTCCAAAGGGCTTGCATCCAATCTGTAAAGGACTCTCCACTTGTCTCCCCCGCCCACCCCACAAGACCATGGTCTGGGACAGCTGCAAGGAATGTCAAATACTGGGCTGATCGATGCATTTATAAGCACAGCTCTTCAAGCCAAAGAACAATTGAAAGTAAGTTGAATGGGAGGAATACCCGTGTGGTGTGGTGGTTAAGAGTGTGGGGCAGGGATATGGGATATCTAGTCCCCTCTCAGACATGGAGCTCACTGGATGACTTTGGGCCAGTCACAGAAGCACAGCCCAACCTTACAGGGCTGTTGCTATGAGGAAAGGATCGGGAGGAGGAAGATAACTATGTAAGCCACCTTGAGTTTCTTGAATGGAAAAAGAAGATATATATACTTATAAGAAGCAGCATAAGTCAATACATGTTAATTCCATACATTTTGACCTTTGTCCTGGTGAAAAGAACTAGGTGTAAGCAACCACCTTGTTCCCATGATATTTAATGCAAGAAACATGCCACATATACTCAGGGATACCCACCGTGCCACTTGGCATATTCTGGCTCATCCAAGAAAATGCATGCACCCGAGCAGCCGAGAAAGGGCATGAGATGCAGGGACAGCCATTGCACTACATGAACGCCTTGAGACCCACGTGCAAATTCCCACCAGTCCTGAAGGTCACTGGCTGATCTTGGGCCAGTTAGCTCAGCCCCTGCACCAGATGGCTGTAGGGGCAAAATGATGGCATGCCATAGGAGTGGTAGCCCTGAGCCCCTTGGAGCGGAGGTGGGCTGTACATGTGATCAGTGGATACAGCCAACTGGCAGCTGCCCTCTCCTCCCTTTCTGCCAGCTCCAAGGACGTGCGGTCACTCAGATCGGAATGCATGGGCAATGCATCCCAGAATGAAGAGACACCGATCATGCTTTATTTCAAAGGTGGATGCCCTTTTGCTTATCAACAGGGGAAATGCTTCTCTCTCTTTTGCAGATGGCGTGGTGTGTGGCGAAGATCTCTTCTACGCTGGTGTTCCTATAGTATGGTCAGAGGTAATCCGAGCGTGGTTTAAGGAGAAAGTGCACTTCGTTTACGGGAAGGGGCCAAAGAATAAGGATGCAGTAGTCGGACATTAGACTCAGGTATGGAGAACTGCAACAGGGCGACTAAGGATCTCTCAGTAATCTCTACCTGTGGCTCCCCAGAAGACACATCCAAGTCAGGAGCGCAGGGAGCTGCGTTATCCTGGGCCAGACCCTTGGCTCCTCTAGCCCAGCACTGCCGACACTGATGGGCAGCAGGGGCTCTCCAGGGGTTCAGGCAGGAGTTTTCATAGTTAGGCCAGGGATGGAGCCAGGCGCCTTCTGCATGCCACCAATCTGCTCTTACCCCCAAGCCAGGGCCCCTATTCAGCAAATGCCTGGGAGGCGGGAGGCTTGTTGGCTCCTCCTCTTCACCTGAAGCAGTGCACAGATGTGCTTCAGCAGGCCTTGCTTCCTTCCCAAAGCGATAGGCACTCCAGCACTCACTTTCAGTGCTAGGGGGAATGAAAGGTGATAACAGGGCTCAGTTCCCAGAGCTCTGTCTCCTAGTGATCCGCTCTAATCAAGACAAGGTACTAGGGCAGCTTTAAGCAGGTGGAAGAGCACCCACAAGGAATTATTTCAGTCTGTGAAGGCAGAACAGGGCCCATCTGGCTCCCCTGAGCTCGCTGGACTCCTTTCCCAGACTCATCACTGTCCTTGAAGCAACCTGAGTCAAGGTCAAGCCTGCAAACACTCGGGAACATGAGCAGCTTCTTTGATCAAAGTACACACAATACGCAATCGTTTGCACAAAGTATGGAAATGATGTAATCCTTTGCACAAACTACATAAGCTCACAAGTCACGTGTGCAGAAGCAGAGCGCCACTTGCAAAGCTGGCATGCAGGTGTTGTGTGCCTGAGCTGGCCTCCCTGATTTGCTCCCTGGGACAGAGAGAAAGTGGGCCAGAGTCTGGGGAGCCAAACCAAGGAAACCCACTGGATTCCCACTGCCAAACCAGATTCTTTATGTGCCCATTTTCGATGCTCTCAAGTTGCATCCCCTGCGTTAGTGCCTTGTAAATGGTTTGCATCCGTTCCTGTGGGGGAAAGGAAAGTTCTGTCTTGTGGACTCTCTCATAGTAAGGGAAACCCTGGCCATTAGTCCGGCCATTGGGTGGACTGGCACCCACAGTCCAGGAGCCTGCAGGGTTAGGGTTAGGGTTAGGGGTAACATGTTCCCCCCCAGCTGTGACTGCCATTTGCCTGGCTAGCTCTTTTCAGGGCTTGCAGCTGCATGGAAAGAGTCGTGGTTGGGGGCCTGTTTGGGGTGACTGGTAATCTTGGGTGTTTGACTGAGTCTTTCGTTCTCATTGTTTTTCTTTACTCATTTTACACTTTTAATGTGTTTCTTATGTTCTATATTATAATTACATTTTATTATCTGTTTTATGGACTCTTGTGAACTATCCAGAGAGTTAGTGTTTAGCACAGAGAATTTAGCTGTGGGGCAGTACTGAAATAAATAAAATAAAATAAAATAAAATAAAATAAAATAAATAGTTAAATAAGTAAGGTTGCTAGACTTTCCCACAGAACCACAGCATTTTCCATAGTGATGTCAAAAAGCAAAGGCAGAAATGTAGCTGTGGAAGGAGACAGGTGCCAGCTGTGCCTGGATGTGCAAAATCCCACTCTACCATTTGGAACAGCATCAGCCAAGCAAATATACATGGTGCCTCATGAATGTAGAGATGGGTTTTTAAAACGACAAAGCCCTTCCTGTGGGTGTACAGACTTGAAAGCCTAATCCATAAAAAAGGGGAAAGAAACAAGAAAAAGGAAATGAGTGACAGCGCTTAGAGATCAAAGGCTCATGCGAAAAGAGAGATTTTCACACATAATTTAAAAACATTGCAAGGAAGAAGCGCTGTAAATGTCAGAAAGCAGGGAAAGGGGGAGCAAGAATCATGAAACAGAACTCGTGATGGAAGCTCATGCAAGTAGGAAGTATCTGCAGGCTGGAAACTGAGGAGGACTGTAAATAAGTGGAGATGGATCCAAAGACTGAAGAGGTTTAAAAGTAAAAAGGAGGTACTTAAGCTAGATCTAATGTTTACTATAAGGTACAGGAAAACAAATGATAAATGGACTGTGGATTTTAAAAAATGGAGGATAAGAGGGTGAAGGTGAGAAAGAGGCTAGCTAGAAAGAAGGAAATAGTAGCACTGAGGCTGAGAAAGCATGTAAGAAAAACAAATGTACAGGTAGTCCCCGGATTACGGACAAGTTCAGTTCCTGAAAACATCCTTAAGGTGAATTTGTATGTAAGTTGGGTCACATGGGTAAACCAAATGCTTGTCTTAATATATGCATATATTTTACCTTTCTGTGCCTATAAAACACTGAAGAGACACTTCTATATTCACTAAAACATCTTAAGCACGATGCAGCATTGCAGCAATGATGATAATACAGTAATAATAAGTTAACTATATGTACTGAAGAATGAGAGAGAGAGAATCTGTATGTATGTATGTATGTGTACAGTATTGTAAAAAACAAATAAAACAAGCAGTTCTTGAAATAGTTTAGAACATTCTTGAGGTAACATTAAGCCTGACATTACCTGAAGATAATGGAGATAGACCTGGTCCCGGAGCAGGGCAAATGCCACTGGAGTCACTTCCTTGAAATCAGCCTCAAGGGTTGTCTGTGCAGCCATTTCCTTTGTCTCACCATAAGTGGCCTTATAGCAGCTGAAGGCCTGGTTACAAGGGCAAATGCTAAAGAAAAACCAAAGGGGAACTATGCAACCTACATGTGCCCCAAAACTCACTGGCTTGGGTGCATTCAAGATATCACCTAGAACAAAAAGCCGTGAATATTATATCTCTAGGGAACTAGGTTTGCCACAGATGATGCATTGCCAAATGTGTCATGTAGTTCCCTAGAGATGCGTCACATAGTTATTTAGAATAGCCATGACTATCTCTAGCAAATCTCTATCTTTAGAGAAAAGCTATGAATATCTCTAATGAAATTCTGTGTCTATCTCTAGGGAACTACTCACCCACTGATGATGTACAAAAACGTCCCACAGTTCCCTAGCGATAGTAATGACTATTATGTATGGATATTCATGTAGGGTTTATGGCAGTCTGTGTGTTCATAAGTATGGGTTGTTTCTAACCTGGAACTTGGTTTCTTTTTCTGTGATTTTTAAATGTGTGGAATCTCGATATATTTCCTCCTTTCATTTACAGCTGGTTTGGTATAAATCCTACCTGATTGCATGTGCAGTCTCTAAGTGTCAACATAAGATATATAACTATTTCTATGTTTGCTACTACTGTCCCGGGTATGTACAACAACAGATACAATTCATTTTATAAATGTCCTAGTTCTAAAATCCTAACATCACTGTTTTAATGTATGATCATGCCAAATTTGTGTGGATTATTTTATTTATTTATTTATTTATTTATTTATTTATTAAAACATTTTATGCCGCCCCATTCGCCGAAGTCTCGGGGCGGCTTACAACACGGATTAGTGAAATTTAGTATAATGAAAACTGTTGAACAACTTATAAAGGATGATAATGATTATTTTGTCTATTAAAAATGTGGCTTTTCAACTATTAGGCCTCCCAGGGAGATAATATAAGCAGCATATTTGAAGTACCTCCACAATCAAAGCAATGAAGATAATAAAACAGCAATAATAGAAATCGCAGGAGACAACCTCAAAACAGCATCATCGAAAGCACCGGTATTCCCGTTTGGGATGCTGCTTGCTTGCCTGCCTCTAGTGGGATGGAATAGGGCAGGTGGCGTGAAGAGTAGAAAAGGAATTGTAGTAGTACAGAAAATTAGTCTATCAAAAACATATCTTAAGAAACGAAATCATCATCAGCTGAACTGATTGCGGAGTAGGAGTTACTAAATCGCTGAACCTCTCAGACTTGACAGGAACCTGAAGAATGTATTTGCAAAAGATGCCAAAGCAATTCCTTAGTCATATAAAGTCTGCTTTTATTTAATAACCCGTAGAAGTCATGATTGAGAATGCAAATGATGCTTTATAGTGGTTGATAAGGAAAGGCAGCCCAACGTTTTTCCTTTTTTATCTATCGGCATCAGCCGGACGAACATGAATTGTAACATTTCTGCGTGGTGCACAACCTTCCTCTTGAAGCATTTTGCTGACAGGAGTGCAAGAGGCTGAGGTGGTGGAGCAGAGGGGTGCCATCACAGAACAAGCAGCAAGGACACAATTTCTAGGGCAGTGATGGCAAAGCTTTTAGAGACTGAGAGCCCAAACCGCAACCCAAACCCCACTTATTTATCGCAAAGTGCCAAGACTGCGATAAAACCTGAAAACAGCCAGTCCAAGCAAATACATATATATCCTTGGCAGCGCACTGACCAGCCATGCCAAGGCTTGGATGAGTCGCGGCTAATGTGTCACGGCTTGTGACGTCATCGCCTGGCACCACTACCCCTTTCCGAGCATGCGCATGGCCCCTATGTGCGCTGTTATCCGATGCTTGGCTGCTGGGGCGTTCCTGGGGCGACCTGGCTCATGCGCCGACAGAGAGGGCTCTGTGTGCCTTCTGCGGCACGCGTGCCATAGGTTCGCCACCACTGCCCTAGGGTGATGGCTGCAAGCTCCCAAATGCAGAGGTCTGTGTTCCTCCTTTGCAGGATGGGAGCAGCTGCAGAGAAGAGCTTCGCCTCCCTGCCCACCCACCCTGCTTTTTTGCAAGATGGGCTTTTTTGCTTGTTTCAGGCAAGAATTTCAGAGGGGAAGGATGGAAGCTGGAGGGAGCCCCAGAGAGCTCGTATCCTGGTCTTTCCAGACTCCTTCTCTCCCTTCCTACAGAAATGCCTTTCTCACCTTCTAGTCAAGGGGACTATGACCCAGCCTCAGATCTGGAAATCCAGAGTGTCCTGTGATCTCTCTGACTCTGTCAAGAGGCCATAGGATTGCTCCCTGAGTTGTTTTGTTCAACACTTAGCAGTTCTGAATCTTTTCAATTGCTTGAAATTGAATCCTTTGTGAGAACGTGCTCGAAACACAAGACCTGATTCAAGTCAGCAAAACCATTCAAATGCATTCCGTGAACGTTTCTTTCTCCATCGTATCTGGGATTGTGCTGCTCAGTCCCTGGCACCAGTGTTCACCAGGTCAAGGAAGGGAGTGTGTTCCTAGTCTGAATGCTGGGGGCAAGGATACCATGGACCTCTGCAGTACAGGAGGTGGAAAATCCAAATGAGGCCATTAAAAATATGATTCCATTGGGTTAGAGCCAGATTTAATCAAGCTGAGAGTAGGTCCACTGAAAGAAATGGGGCAAAGGTATTAATCGTTTACTTTAAGCATGGTTAAGGCATGACTGGCTTGTTCCAGGGATTGCAGTGGATCTGCTCCGAGCTTGACTGAATCGGTCTGCAACCAATGAAGAACTGAACATTTGCTGTCCTTTAGTGCCTGGGGCACATGTTACTGTAAAGACAGAGCCAGCTGTATCTGGAACAAGCCCTGAAATCTGAAAAGTTAAAGATTAATTTTTTGTTCTCTTCTAAGGTTATATCATGCATGCAATCACTGCCTAACTACAGCTTCTACATACCAGGAACAACTGTTCACACATGCATGACTTGTTGCTTAAAATCTCTCTATCTGATGACCCAAGACTTTAGTTTCTGATGGCTATTCACTGAAAATGCGTGGCAAGAGTGGGGAGAGGGAGCAACATGGCAACCCCTCCTTGCTAACCTGCCACTCCAACACTCACTCATTTTACAAGTTTTCACAAGCAGGCTTCAACTTGATGGATGACGTAGGGTGGAAAGTTCTGGGAGTCATCGTTTGTTCAATACACTGTCCTCAGGATCCATTTTGCCCCTGGTCTTTGTCGCTGGGTAACAGTGAAACACGGAAATGCAGAGGGAGGTTTAAAGCCACCCGTTTGCCTACCACTACTGCTGCTAGTGTACCACTGCAGGCAGGCCGAGAGGGGGAAGGAGGGTTGGCGTCTGGGATGGGCAGGTGCAGGACATCTCCTCTTCTATGTGCTCGGGTTCTGAGCTCCCAGAAAGGATGTTTAGGGACTGGATGGGCTGCACCCAGTTCAGACTGTCTGGTTTGATTCCTCGCCCAAGTTGCACAGATTTCCACATCCCCCAAATTGTATGTGGATGCAAATGCACATTCAGAATGACATTAGAGGTGTAGGATCAACACTTGAGCAGGCACTGCTCCTTGTGCGTTGCAGGTCAGCTTTGGCAGAACAGACTGAAAATCCTGTTCGTGATGCTATTTTGTGCCTTTTTAACTTTCAGGGGTAATGCTATTGGAATTAATTACTATACACCTTACAAGCGAGGGCAACCATGTCACAATTGTCCTCAGAATTGTGATGATGGACTATGCAGTGAGTACAGACATTTTTACTTAATTTACTTTTGACACAAATTTCAGTATTCAGTCCACAGTTAGTAATCAGGAAGTTATACTTGAGTGGTTCACTTTATGGTAATAATTGCCAGGTGGGTGGTAATGGGAATTTGGCACAGGGGCGCAGCCCCTCTGTTCATGCATTTGCTGGCATCTCTATTCAGTACTGATTTACTTTTTACACTCCTATATTACTTTTATTTCCTTTCCAGGAACTCAAGGAGCTGCACATTATTCTCCTCCCCCTCCCCTCAATCTTATCCTCACAGCAACAGCAAGTCTGTGAGGCAGGTTGGGCTGAGAGTCTGTGGCGGGTCCCAGTCTCTCGCTAAATGTCTGTAACAGCAGAGGGAAACTCGTGGTCCTCATCTCTTTGGCCTACGACTCCCGCCAGCCCTAGCCGGGCTTTCAGAAAGCTTCCATGGCTGCTGCAATTAGACTTGACAAATTATTTCCCACTGTCAGTTTGACGGTGTCCATGCCAGTGGCCAGGAGTGTTGCCCATGTTGTCTGCCTCTTCCTCACTGGTCTGCACACAGAGGCTGGATCTGTGGGTCCTGCAGTGGCTGCACTTTCCAGGGGCTCTGTGGTAGTTGCACACCAGGACCACGGAAAGCATAATCATAGGCTCAAGCAACAAAGCAAGCCATGGTGCTGCTGAGAAACTATAGAGCAAGTCATTGTGGCTTCTAAAGACTAAACTTGGTTTGTTTAGTTGATAAGTCGTGTCTGACCCTTCACAGCCCCATGGACAACATTCCTCTTGGTGCAATACCACAAATAGGTTCAGGCAATACAAGAGACCAACAATGGTAAAAAACCATTGTGACTTGTTGCATTGTCTGAGCCCAGTCACCGAGTGGTGGTTATAGGTTACCATTTCACTGTCCACCAGGCAGTGCTTGATGTGTGCAGGGGACCATATTACCCCAGGATGGGCATGAGAGTTGGTGTTCTGCATTTGCCCTGATATTGATGCTACTGAAGCATATGGCCTCCTGCCTTGGAGTATAACTTTGTCAGCTCGTCACACTTGCCTGTGTGAATATTGCAGACTGGTGACCTCATTTATTTGAAAGTGCTTCCCTGCTTTCGGCAGGGATCTGAGCCAGCATGTCTTCCGCCCTGCTGCAACAATGGCAAAAGACCCGGGGAAGGTCCTTCACAGGGATGCTGCCACGAGTGCAGGCTCCTGGCTCCAACGTGCATCACTCTGGTCTGGTCCTCCAGGTGCGTTGGACTGCAGCTCCCATAGTTTGTGTCCGGGTGGCCACTGGTTATGCAGGCCGGGGAGTGTGAGGGCTGCAGTTCAATTCATCCAGAGGTCACCAGACTGGGGAAGCCTGATCTCGCCCAACACGCTGGACGTTCTGCTTGGCAACGGCAGGCGGAGGCTGTGGGTGCCTCCCGGGCATTGTGCTTTTGGGAATTACACGGGCAGGATGCACCAGCAGCCAGTCTGAGAATGTTCTCACTCAGCATTTGCATATCTTTTATTTCAGCCAATCCTTGTTATATGAAGATGTATACTCCAATTGTGTCAACATAAAGAAGAGATATACGTGTAATAATCCACTAATGAAACCATACTGCTCAGCGTGTTGTCAGTGCACATCTGAAATACAATAATATCTGACTTTTTCCAATTACCCTTGAATACCATGAAAGAGGAAAATGATCACTTGAAGATAAAAATCAATGAAAATGCATATTTATCTCATATTTGCGCATATAAATATATATAACTATCTCATGATAGGTGCAAATTAAAATAGGGCTTCTGCAGTGTATTCTGTAATCTTTTAATCTATTCCCCCACCACTGTTTTAGAGAACAGCAAGCATTTATTATGCTTAGTCTAGTATTAAAAATGGCTTCTATACTTAGCTAAGTGTCTCCACTAAATATTGTCTTAATTGCCAGTTCATAGGTATACTGTCTTAAGAGACCTTTGCAATATACACCAATGGGGGAAAAATCAGTAAATGCTTTTTACTTGGAAAATACACTCCCACCCTGTATCTGAAATTCTGGATAAAAATCGATCTTATCAATGAATTCATGAACAGAGTATAATTGCTTGTTTTATTAATACATTTATATCCCACCTTTAAACAGCTGCTTTCAAAGTGGCTTACCTAGGCAGCAGATAGGACACACCTCTAGTGTGGCCCATTTTGTTATATAAAATGAACCCACGGCGCTGCAGGCCAAAGTGAGAGAAAGGAGGTTTCTTGTTGGAGGTTTTGACCAGTTCTTTTATCTCACCCCCTCCCAACTATAAGTCTCCAGAATGGTTTTTTGACCCTCTAGACAAAATTTGTAGATACCAAAATCTTTTCTGCTCAGGAGACGACATCCAGAGAACATTGGTAGAAAGCTAGTGCATGAAGAGAGGGTTAAAAGCCCCTTTCCCCAGGCATGCGAGCCGCTCTCCCAGCACAGGGTGCCCCAGCTGCATACGGGGAGTCCAGGGGAAGCTGGGGGGCAAGGGATGTGGCTGAAGGATGAGCTGCCCTGGACTCAGGGAAGGGGGGTTGAGGACCTGGGCTGTGGCCATTCCACTCGCTCCGGAGCAGGTGTGGCCCTCCCTTTGGGCAAAAGTCTCCCGGAGCAGCATCCCATCCACCGATTGGACAGCCCTTCCTTCAGCCAAGCCGTCTAAAAAGACTGGAGACGCAAGGAAAGGGATCGGGGCAAAGGGGGTGGGGGAGGCCTGCTGGTGCAGCTTGGTTCCTCTGCACCGGGAATAGACCTCTCGCATGCTCCAAGAACACTGCCTCCATGCTCCTTCTGGGCCAGCCTGTTCCTCATTCTTCCTTCTCTTCTGCAGCTTTATTCTATGTTGAATGCAGGGCAAGCAGTGGGTGGAGGGGCTGTCACTGGGCACGAAGCAGGGCCCCCGATTTGATCAGTGTTCTAGCAAGTGGCGGAGGGAATCTCTCTCCTCCTGCCATGCCCACTAGCCACCTGCCCCTTGAGCCTCTCTTAGTCAAGCTGAGATGGGATGGGTGCAAAAGCACACGCAGCGCTCACATGGTCCCCACCTGGTTGTGGAATGGGCTTCCAGGGGAGGTGGCAGAGGCCCCATCAGTGAGGGCATTCAAGGAAAGATCGGACACCTACATCTTGGCCATTATATGAGCGGAGCCAGCTTATGCTGGCGTTCAGGCTAGATGGCCCAGAAAGCCCCTGACTTGCTGTGTCTCTCTGTTTCTGCCTCCAAGAAGGTGGGTGTCGTGTCATGTCGTGTCGTGTCGTGTCGTGTTGTGTCATCCCCCCATAGCCAAAACTCTCTGAGATAAAATCTTGAACATTCAAGGATATGAAATGGTTTGAAAATGAATTTAAAACAATTTGCAATAAAATGATGACCTCATTTGAAACCCAACACCCAAACCTGCAAATCCCTCCCTATGGTGTTGAGTGCCAGGGCACAGAGCAGCGTCTTCACCTGGCATGGCCAGGATGCCAGTGTGGATGCCAGATGGAGTTCATTAGGCGGCCCTTTCGGCCTAGGAGGAAAGGGATACTTCCTCTGGCATCAGCGTGAGGGTCCCAGGGCTGTTGCAGCATGAGAGAAGACTGGGAGATCTTACAGTGGCAGTGTGGCCCTCGGCTGTCACTGCAGTGGGGTGATAAGGCACGTGGGGTAGTGTCGCCCTGTGATCCCAGAGTATGGCAAGGGAGGGCCATGGCTGTGCTGCCACTCAGGGGGAATGCAGGCGAGTGCCTCTCAGGAGCACGGCTCAGAAGGCACAAGCCTGGGAGCAGCAACTGGCTAGACGCGCATGAATCAGAGGCCAGAAGGCATGATCGTGAGGGACAAGATGGAGGGGGAAAAGCTTCTTCTGCAGGAGACTATATTCTCCGGAACAGGACAGCTTCACAGCCTGGGGACAGTTCTGAGCCAGTGTTAGCTTCTGGGTCCTTGGCTTACAGCACTGGCCCAGGATGTTGGCTGGAACGTTGACCACGCCACGGATATCTGCTGGCTGCTGCTTGTGCCTCGGCAGCCACCAGGTTAGGCCACAGCACGGGTTTGCTTGCAACCTGGCCATAGCTTCGGGACAAGGGCTGGCCCGGTAGGGGAACATGGCCCAGACTGTGCTGTGTCCCAGCCCTCCTTGCGTCTGTCTGCTGTTAGTCCTCTCAGCTTGCCCTTGGGTCTCTAGGTGCTGCTTTTGAATGCCAGGTCAGACTAGAACAACCCCCCCCCCCCACTTCCATGACTTGATCTGGCCTGCATCACAAAGACAGAGAAGAGTTAATCCCAACAGAAAGGGCTATACCTGCTAACAGAGCAGGCAGAAACTGAGGCCAAAGCATCAAGATGGCCAAAGGTCATCGCTGACACCAGACGCAGAGTCAGGTTTATTAGCAGCCTGTGATGGACTGTGGACCGTCGCTTAACAAAAGAGAAGCCCTGTCTCCCTTATTTGCACAAGTCTTGAGTGGGCTCAGCCTCAGAAGAAGAGGATCAGCATATAGGCATGGCAGGCTTTACCAAATTACCTCTATATGTAAGGAAATAAAATATTTGCTAAGTATATAATGTTCTTTGAAATTCACTCCATGCTATTTGCTCAGTTGAGCATGGGAAAGCAAACAAGTGGATTCCAGGAAATGTAAATGCTGTTGGATGTTCTTGCATATTAAAAGCACTGTGATCTGATGAGATTATTGTGGGGAGGGGGGAAATTAAATTTAAAAAGTGAAAGCTGATTCCTAAAAGGAGTTCCTTTGTGGCATTGCTCCTAAGCATTTCTGAGGTCAGCCCGCTGCCTGAAGGCCCAAAGCTGCCTCTCACAGTAGGCGTGACTCTTTCAGCAGTCCTCAGGTGCAGCGGTGGCTGGTCCCACTGTGCTGGGATGGAGGACAGGGCAGCACATGGTCAGCAGACCTAGAGGTCACAAAGTTGGATCAAGGAGCAGGCACAGAGCATGCATGCAAAGCAGAGGGTCAAGGAGAGGAGGGGTCAAGCCGCACAGCAGGACAGGAAAACTCTACTGTGAACCCACACTGTTTTTGCTCTAGCAAGAATCCAACCCAGTAACTCAGTAAGGCAAACTAAGGCTAGTACAATAAAATAAATAAAATAAAATAAAATAAAATACAATAAAATAAAATACAATAAAATAAAATACAATAAAATAAGAAGCATGGTGTTCTCCCTGCTCCCTCATACCAACTGCATAGTCACTCCTGGAGCTCCAGGACAGCAGACTGGAAACTTGCAAAACATGCTCAGCAGCAAACTCACTGGGGGGAAAAGAGGGAGAAATGGAATAGAGGTTAGCAAGGGGCCAGGAGATGTTGCCTTCTCTGAACACCTGGCTACTAGGCGACCAAATGGAACAGAGAACCCCACCTTCTCCTCCATCCCCTCCCCTGCCCCCCACACTTTGCTGGCTGCTGCTCCTCTCCATCCCTTCCTGCTCAACGTGCTGCTGCCCAGCTGGGCCAAGCAGATGCCGAAGGGGCTTCTTGGCGCTGCTTTCAAGCAAGCCTGTGATCGGCTGGGGGCATCCATTGCAGCTGCCCCCACTGACGACAAAACCAGCACCACGAGTGCGCCTACCTAGTCACTTGCAGTGAGAGTGTGGGGAATCGGGCAGCATGTTCCTTCCAGGGGGCCGGCCTGAGACAGACCACAGCTTCTTTTTCCCCGACTTGCTCCGCTGGAGGATGGAGCCTGGAGCAGCCCAAGCACATGTGCACAGGAGACGATGTGGACAGGTGGATGCCAGCCGGAGGGAGGAAGAGAAGGAGAGCTGTGCACACTCAGGCCAGCGAAGAACCGGAGCTCCCTGCAGACAGAGACATTTTTTAGGTTGAAAATTTTTTTTTTAGGTTGAAATTTTTTATTTAAATAAAAACATACTACAAACAGAGACATTTTTTAGGGTCAGGGACAGATTGGGGGAAAGAGGGGGCGGCTCTTTACCTCGCAGGAGAGGGGGAGAGCCCATATTCCTTGCCCTAAGCAATAGTCCACCCACAATCAGTTCTTGCCTTCCTCTAATTCCCCCTCACGGTGCAGCCTGAATCAGGTTGCTTTATCCCACAGCAAAACAGATTGTTTTCTGGTGTGCCTCACAAGAAAAGATGCACCTTGCAAGATTCTCATTAGTGTTTTTACAGTACAGGTCAACTGGCAAATTGAGGGCTTTATTTATTTATTTATTTATTTATTAAAAACCTTTCTATACCATCTTCTTACCAATAGTCTCTGGACAGTTTTACAATAAAACAAAGTAATATTCATATATGAAGACTGCAATGTGTCCCTTTACCAAGGCATTTGCATCTGAATTCTTTGCAGAATTAAGACCTGTTCCTTCATATTTTTTTTCACCCAGATTTTCTTTCTCTGTCTTCCTATATGTTCCATTAAATGGCCACTAGGTGGTGCTGTGGTAGAGCAGAATTGTCCAAACACATGAGGGTCTTATGCTACCCGCACAGATAATACCAGACTTTTCTTGATTGAAAGAAAGCTGCAGCAATGTAGGGAGAGCTCATGGAGGATGCCAAGTCATGCAGAGCACGTGCGGACTGCTACGAGTGAGGAATCATAAACACATGACCAGTGCTGACTGTAGAGAGCTCCTACCCTTGAACAAGAGAAAGGCTTCAAAAACCAAGCATTCAGTTATGGTTCTAAAGAAGATAATTCTCACCGCTCTTGTCATTATGGCACTCTATGCTCTATCTGTTTGGCTTTGCTTTTATGATCGTTTCCATTCCCTCCTTCAGTCTCCTGTGGGAATAAGATCCACAGCAGAATACATATAGTTTGAATCTTCTGCATAGACTCTCACTGCAATGAGAACAAAAATGCCAAGTGTTTGAGACAATCTTCAATCATCTTGGCTAAATTTCTGGCCCCTTAAAGTTTCCAACTTGAAAGTCAAAAAATCTGGTACATGGAATAGATCAGCTTCTGCCTAAAGGAGTGGCTTAAGTTGTTTTATGCAGAATTAAAATCTCTGAACAGAAAACATGCCAGTCTTCCAGCAATTGCTAGGATACATTGAATTGGTTTTTAAGAAATGTGTTATCCTTTTGACTAATTTTAGTAAATTCAAGGCTCATTTTCCCACATAGAGTACTACAGAGGTTATTTGTATGTATATATGTATGTATGTATGTATTTAAAGTTGTTATATGCCATCCGATTACTAAAAGTCTCTGGACGGCTTACAAAGAACAAAAACCAAAGAACAAAACAAACTTTAACAACAGTAACACATAGCAAACTACATCTGATAAATAATGATAACAAGAAGGATAAAACCAATTAACTGCTAAAATATCGGGAAAATAAAAAGGTATTTGCCTGACACTGAAAAGAATAAAGTGACGGTGCCAGGCAAACCTTGTGGGGGCGTTTTCCACAGTTGGGGTGCCAGCGCTGAAAAGGCCCTTCTTTGAGTAGCTACCCTCCTAATTTCCTGATTTGTGTGGCATGACAATCCCTTGTGGGCAACTGGCCAAACTGGCTCACTGTGTTATCTGAACCCAGACATTTCCCCACATTATGGCTTTCTTCTCCCAAGAAGCTGCTGTGAGAATGAGTGGGTCATTCTAGGGGCTGTTTTACTTATACTAAGTCACCCTACTATCAGAACCCCAGTGACTGATCCCCCTGTGGCTAAAGGGGAGCTGTGAGTGAGGTGCTTAGCATAGCAAGAGTGGCAACATCTTGCCCATGGCACCACCAGCATCAGCCCGTCTGCAGTGCACAGGTGGCTACTCTTAAAAAAAAAAAAAATCTGAACTTCAAATATGCACACATTTTTCTAGCCGGACATGTGAAAGGGTGGAGATGCCCAGTTCTATAGGTTTGAAAATGGGAAGCCTCACCTGGACAATGTCCTGCTCTCAGAGTGGAGCAGATACAAGCTCTGAACATTGGCCCAGAGGCTCCGAATAGGGTTGTGGTTGTTTTGCTTAATGAAGGCAAGCCACATGTGACTGTTGCTTGCAAAAGGGGGTTGGTGCCTTCCCCTGTGCAGAGCATGATCTTCAAACCAACAAATGCACCTGGATGGTCACAGGTTCTCTACTGCTGTTCTCCACCTAATCAAAAGGGACTGCTCTTTAGAAGGCCAGATACTGAAGATGAAACTCAAATACTTTGGCCAACTAATGAGAAGGAAGGACTCCCTGGAAACAGCCTAATGCTGGGAACAAGTGACGGCAAAAGAAGAAGGGGACGGCAGAGGACGTGGTGGCTAGATGGAGTCACTGAAGCAGTCGGTGTGAGCTTAGGTGGACTCCAGGGGATGGTTGAGGACAGGAAGGCCTGGAGGAATGTTGTCATGGGGTCACGCGATGGGTTGGACACGACTTTGCGACTAACAACAACAGGGACCAAATTCTGACTTCAAGCTCAGCAGAAAGGTGATAACCTTGAAAAAAGACTATTCTGTGCAATACTATAAGTATGTAAAAGCTAGATATTTCTTTTTTATATTAAAATGAGCAAATGGAAGGTCCAGAAAATATTTTTTTCCATAGTAATACAAATGCACCCTCTACTGGCAAAATTCATCCCTGCATGGAATCTGTAATCAAAGTCTGAAACTCTAAACAGGGAGACCTGAACGTGTGCAAACAACATGAGGAATAAAGACTCATTGTTGTAATGATGCTGTGAACCTTTACATAGTTTAAGCAAAGCCTTATTTTTATGTGCGTTCTGGGATTCCGTGCATGTGTATAGATTTCCCTTGATGCACTGGGACCTTTTCCCAGGTTTGTGCAGCCCTAATTTCTCAGCCTTAATCTTGTAACTGGCAACAGTTTTTAAATCAATAGGGTGCTATATTATCCTTAGTTTTCTTTATTCACTGAACATAAATTATGTGTGTATATGTGATGTGCCTGGTTGAAATGAATGTTCAGCATGAAATGAAATATTTGATCATTTTTAGCATGACCCGAACAGGATCAGGAGCATGTTTTCTATTTAGAGCACTATGAAATGGGAAGCATTAGCAAAGGGCTTGATGGTCTTGCA